CATATCTGTTACTGGTCACTGCTGGAGATAAGAGAATGAACCAGATAGGCTCTTCATCTGCTTGAGTGCCCCTGCCCTTCAGTGACCGAGCTAGATTTTAGTGTGTTCAAGACCCATCTATTTTTGTTCTTGGTAAATTAGTTTACTAAGAAGGAAACTTTGAGAAATGAGAATTTTAAAATGCATAATAGAAAGTTTCTGGAAAGGAGCTTCTACATTAACTGGAAAATATTTGGTTCCAAAACTGATTATAAAAATTAAGACCATTCAGTTTGGAAATGGAAATGTACTGTGTGATGTTATCAATATAACCAGAGCAACTCCAAACTTGATTAGTCACTGAAGGCTTTATGAAAGAGTTTAAAGAAAAAGCAACATCAGTGCCTTGAACCATGGATTCTGAAAAGGAGCTATCATCATTTACCTGCAGAAGCGGATGAGAATGTTGAGGTCCTGTTCACTTCTGAATTTTAGGAATATAATTTTGCTTTCTGTGTTCAGAGCACAGGGGAGCTTCTGACACAGTCCTGATGGAAGGATTACAAATTCTTCTATCTCTGTTGTCTGTACGAGTAACATAAGCATTAAACAAGAAATCACTGCAATCTGTACAAGTCCATGCAATCTTCATATACAAGCAAGGTGTTAGTATTTTTAACTTGAAAGAATGACTACTCAATGTAAAGAAAAGGTCGTTTCTCACTAAAAGTGAAAATTCATAGAGAGTAGAAAGTAGATGATTTAGAAAATTATTAGATTTGGGAGAATACAGCAAAACTTGTGTATGCAGTAGATTGTAAATATTTTTGCTGTACTTTAGTGTAAACATCCTTATGTTTGCTATTGCTTCATTTAATTTTTATTACTAAACTATTGACAATTGAATGGCCAACAATTCTGTTAATATTTCCAAAGGAGAAAGATATATCAGGGTAAGGTGTGCTGCAAATAGCAGAATTGTAAAATATGGTACATATAGTTCATCTTATTATTATGCAGGTTTACTCCTGATGTTCTCCATACATGAGTTCTATTTATTTCTTTCCTCTTTTTCCATAATTCAGTGTCTTAGATTAACAACCATGTGTGCTTCGAATGATTGTTAATAATTTTTCAATTCTAGTTTGAATAATTTTTCAATTTTCTTTGTATTTGCTAGTGAATTTCCCCTCAATTATGGGTATTTAACAAGGACAGCAGGTACATGTCACTGCCTTTAGATTCTAAAAAGGTATCTAAGCACACTTCATATAATCTAAGCAGCATGAATACTATCTTTTTAATTATCATCACTGGAACACAAAAACACTTTACCAAAGACTCTGTTTATTTTAATGAGCTCTAGAGCAGGCAACAAATATGTGCTAAAAATAGATACAAGTGATGATCAAAGTATGCTAGTATACTTCTTTTGAAGAAAAGGTTTTATTTCATTACAGCACTAATTTATTGGCCCTTGGGTATGTTGAGGATAGAAGGGAAGTGCTCATTAGACATTTGGTGTATTTAACTTTATTTCCAAGTGTAAATATGTATGCCTCTAGAATATATAAAAAAATAACATTTGTGGGTTGTGATCAGTAATGAAAGGAAGATTTACAGTGAACTGAGGCAAATATAAGAAACATACTCATGAGGTGTAAGCTTGAATAGATATATTGGATAATTAACTACTGTTGATATTATCTCTGTAAGTTTATACCCATGCTCCTTCGAAATCATTTGTGCTTGTACTGCAGTTCTCTAGCGAAAG